AGAAGCAGGCTCCCCATTGAGCAAGGCCCGGGGATCATGGTCCCCGGGATCATGACCTGGGTCAGAGATAGATGTTTAACTGACTGACTCACTGAAACACCCCTGGAAACTTCTAGAGTCTTTAAATGGGTCCCCATAAAATTATGCCTAAGTAGTTCACACTATAGATTATAAAGATATTGCTAAATGCAAAGCTATGCAAAGCATTAACACCTGCTTTACATGATTTCTTTTTAATTTTTGATTCCATGACTTAGCTAACATTGAACCATAGAAATCAGAAGAAAATTTTAAAAATAAATTGGAGGAGCACCTAGGTGGCTCAGTCATTAAGCATCTGCCTTTGGCTCAGGTCATGACCCCAGTGTCCTGGGATCGAGTCCTGCATCGGGCTCCCTGCTCTGTGGGAAGCCTGCTTCTCCCTCTCTCACTCCCCCTGCTGTGTTCCCTCTCTCGCTGTGTCTCTCTCTGTCAAATAAATAAATAAAATCTTTAAAAAATAAATAAATAAATTTGAAAACACAAAAACATAGAACAGCCATCCAAAATAATACAGCCTTAAGTTCAGGCTTTATTATTTATTATTTCTTCTTTTTATTATTTATTCTTTCATTCAAGATAACAGTTACGAATGGTCACAGACACTCAATTTTCTGTCCAATAGCTCTACCACTTTTTATTAGACAAATGACTTAACCACTCTAAAATCTTTGGTCCCTTATCTGGGGATGTTAAGAGTACTAACTATTAGCCTATTTTGAGCTCCTGGTACAGTGTATTACATACTTGATAATAAATATTTGTTAAATAAATGATTGACTTTGAACATTAATTCAAACATGTAGTGCATTTCTACTAAATGTCAGGCATGGATATGAAGACTATGAACAAAAGATGAACAAGGAACAATCTCTCCTTTTGAGTTCAGACAGAGAAACAGATAAAATTAAGTTCCATAAAATACTAGACGAATGTAACAAAGGATGATACAGATAGGGGTTAGGTCCCAAAGGCTATAGATGGCCTTGCCCCATGGCTTTGGACAGCCCCTAACCCTATGAATTTGCTTGAAGCAGCCCACACCTAGCTCTTAAAGGTTAAAGTCACAAGCCTGTGGTTCTCCTAGACTGGAATTGCCCACGGGTGGCTCCTAGTCATGAGGGCAGCCTGTCACAGCTCCACTGAGGAGTGCTATAGTGGTAGCTCTTTCTCTGAGGTGACTCTACCTCTGCAGGGATTTTCTGCCTGGGTCACACACCAGGAAATCTAGGTGGAAATAGCCATGATCTCATGGCTTGTGCACTCTGTGTCCTGGCAGAGATCATGCATGAACAGTACCACTTGGATGCAGCAAAATCCGCTGTCTGTACCGTCTGGTGGGGTGACTACTGCAGCCTGTGCCATAAGAACTCACTGGAACCAAATCTGGGGCAATCGAGGAGCTTGACACAAATGCAGGGAGTGAAAGTCCTTGAAGTAAGGCTAAGCAGTAGGTATATGGGCTGTTATAACAAAGGTACCATAGACTAGGTGACTTAGAGATAACAGAAACTTGTTTCTCACAAGCTGAAAAGTCCAAGATCAAGGCTCTGGCAGATTCACTGTCTGATGAAAGCCCTTTCCTTGTTCACAGATGGCTGCTTTTTTGCAGTAAGCTCTCATGGTAGAAGGTGCAAGGCTTCTCTTGGGGTCTTTTTTAGAAGGGCATTAATTACCTTAATGAGCATTTCTATCCCCACAATTTATTTACTTCCCAAAGGCTCCACCTCCCAACACCATCACATTTTGGGGATACACATTCAGTAAATAGCAACAGTCAAGTGTATGCTGGTTTTGGAAATGGAAGGTTCCTAATGATAAGGAAGGGAGGATAGTGGAAGATGAATCTAAGATTTCTGGTTAGGGCAAATGAACAGTGGAGTTAATAATGGAATAGGTTTAATAATCAAATGCACAAATACAAGTTTGAGTTTTGGGGAATAGGAATAATACATTGGTTTTGGTCTTAAGATGCCTATAGATCTACTAGATAGGTAATTTGAAGTATGGGTCTGTTTCTCGCAACAGGAAGTCAGAGTATCAAATACTTGCCAGAAATCCTAGGCATCTACTTATTTTTAAATACCTGACCAAGGTGCCTCCTTAGCGCAGTAGGCAGCGCGTCAGTCTCATAAATGCCTGACCATCTGGCTTTTACCAAATATTTCTTTTAAAGGAGACCAGAGACTTTCTAATCACATAGTTGAAAGGATTTTTCTTTAACTTTGATTTTTCACTAGTTCTTCTTTCTCCTCCTAGTCCCTAAATGTAGGCTTTTCTCAAAGTCTGTCTTTAAACTTCTCCTTCTATTCTCTTCCTTTTGGTGTTTACTCAAATAGCTTTGACACTCTCTCCTATGCAAATAACTGCCAATTCTCCATCTCAAGTCTCACCTTCATACCTATATTCCAACTAATTTTGACACTGTCACCTGGATGCTCCTCAGGCACCCGGAACCTGGGCCAAATTGAGTTTTCGTTTCCTTCAGAAGTCTCTCTTCACCATCACTGCTACTTAGGCTTGAATTTCACCCAGGGCCAACTTTGAAACTGCCTACTTTCTCATCCTCTCTCTTTAAATACTTGTCATTTTGTTATAACTTTAAAATTTTAAAGGGTCTCTGTGTATGATCCCACCCTCTCAATCTTACTGACCTATAAACCCAGCTCAGTTCATTAACTCACTCAGACTCCTCTAAGAAGCCTACGAACCAGGTGGTCTATTTCTCTCTCACCCCACATTTATTCTTTTAACTCACTGATAATAGGTTAATTTTAGAAACTCTTAATAACTGGTCCTCTTGCTAAAACACACACACACACACACACACACACACACACACACACACAGTTTTCCATTGCTAATATAAGGTCTCCACTTTATATCTGAAATCTCCACAGTATAACTTTGTATTGTAGTGGTTAAGAGTATGGGTTTTATTACCTGTCAGACCTGGATTAACATCTAAGAACATCAACTTAATAGTTGTACAACCTTGGAAAATCATTTAATATCTTTTCATTTAAAAAGTGGGAATAATAATACTAGCACCTGCTGCATAGCATGTTCTTAAAGTTGAATAAAATAACGTATGTAGGGTATGTAGCAAGAAGCAGAGCACACTGTAGGTGCTCATTAAATGACTGCTAGCTAGTATTATTTTCTTCTATTACTCTTTCAAACTGCATCAACTTACATTATCAAATAATTATCATTTTCCAAAAAAACCAAATGTGTCTGTCTCTATACCTTTGTTCATGTTATCCTCCTTACTCTAGCTTAAATTTACTTAACCTGTAAATTGCTGACTTTCAAGCTCTACTTCAAATGTTTGGATATCCCCAAACAGCTGCAATTTCTTCCTGCTACATTTTCCTTAACTTCTCATAGTTAGTATTCTGGTTCATATTATAGTGTTAATCCATACTTTCCATCACTAAATTGTGAGCTGAGGGCAGACACATTATTTTTTTATCTCCAGCAGTGAAGGCGTTGATGATGGAAACATTGTTTTCTGATCCACAAATGCCTGAATAATTAAAATACAGATATTTTTCCTATCATTTCTCTAATTTTTCTCAGTGTCATCTATATTGCTGTGGAACATCTAGAACTAGCCAATGGATGGGAAAAAGATTAGTGAGCAATTTTTAATTTGTAACAATACATTAAACATTAAACAAAGTTAAATTAAACTTATTAAAGAGACCACTAAGGTCTGCAGAACCCCACTAAACAGTTCTAAACAACTTTATGCAGTATAATTACTATTATAGGTATTTGTAGCATTAAAGTAAAATTTATAAGCTCAAAAAAAAAAAGAAAATAAGAAAAGTCCATGTGGATTTTACATAAATTCTCCACAGATTTATGTATTCCATGAACATTATTTTAGAATAATGGTAGTAGAGTCTGAAAATTAAGAAATAATATCTACTGTTCTTGAATTGAAGTATTACATAGTTCCATTGTTTAACAGAACAAAGGCCTTTAAGATGGACTATAGCCAATATGAATCCTTGTGAAGCATCCATTTTTATTACAATGTATATGTATTTTGTGACTGATGAAGCCCAGATGGCAAAATTACAACATATCCAAGGAGTTTGGAACAATATGAGAATTTAATGAGACAGTGTGAAAAATACATACAGAATAGGAATGAAGATAAATGACTGCTTATAAAGAAATTGTTTTTATTGTTTGTATGTGAATGAGAAAAATAATGATTGTTCTTCCAAATGAAAAAAGTTGTCATTATTCTTTTGTTTTCCAAAACTGCTGTTATAGGAAGTGTTTCCATTTTTAACCATTTTCTGAGGGCTACCTCAGATAATGCCACTCTTTTGGGTTAAAGAAAAGTAATAGTATCGGTTTCAAGGTCTTTAGACTTCAGGCATTTTTGTATCATAATTTCAATTTTCAGCTTCCAAAGAGAATTTGAAGTAATAATTTTAATGTTATAGATGATAATTTCATAATATTCAAGAGGCAGTAGAAACAGATCAGGATTTGGCATCAAAACTGTAGTTTCTGATCTTGGTTATGCAACTTTGTAACTCTGTAATCTCAAGAGGGGCTCAGTGTTCTTATATGTAATGTGGGAGAATAAGGCCAGATGATTTCTAAAAGTTGTCCTGCGTTAGTGTTTCTGATCTATCCATTCTGACTGTTCTTCCTCAAAAATCTTCTGCTCCCTCTACCGGATTATCAGTTTCTGTGCTTCATTCTTTTTAACCACGTATCAAGAGTCCCAAATTTCATCAGCCACCCTTTCATCACATCTGTGTTATTAAGTCTTATCAGCTCTGAAGACCTGCTCAACCTTACTTGCTTTGGAGGGGCTGGTTTTCACGGTCTATTCTGTCTTCAGTTCATACATAATATCCCTTAACCTGGCAATCCGATTAGACTAAAAGCTACATTTATTGTCAATCATTAACACCCGCACTCTTCATTACCTTTGATTCCCATCAAGGGTCTTCAGTCTGATGCATTGTATCATCTCTCATGAAAGATGCTTTTATCACTATCTTCCAGACAATTAAATGTAGCAGGTATGAATTCCCTTTGGCAAATATTGATCCAGTTTGTCACTGTCTTTCCCACATAACCAGCTTAATAAGCTCTGAAGTCACAAAGTCTAAGAGGAGTCCAGAGCCTACCGATTACTGGTTCTATAACTTTGGGAAAATTAACCTCTCATAATTTTATCTCCAAAATTATTACATCATAGAGAGGTTGTAAAGATAATTTTTTTAAAAAGTTAAGTAAATGTAATAGATAACTGTAATAGATAAAAATGCTTTTGTACAAGGAACAGTCAAGTTTAGAATACTCTGAGAGTTGGAATTTGTTTTTTATTATTTATTCTTAGGAAGATTCCATGAAGAAAAAGAAAAACCAAAATACAGAGGAGAAAGGTGAGATCTATATTAAATGACAACAACAACAACAAAGAAATAGGGGCTCTACTGGAATGAATCTGAAGAAGCTGGTTATCAATTCAGCAAAGTTCAAAACCACATAAATGTACAATTTTAAAATGGTAAGGAATTATTGAAAATTGCCATACTCTACTAACAAAAGTATAAACTGGTTGAAACTCTAGAGTGAAATTTTGCAATATGTAACAAGAGACTTTAAAATGGACCCATATAGTAATGGTAGTGCATCAAAGTTAAGTTGCTGACTTTGATAACTACGTTATGATTATATAATAATAAAAAATGATTCCTTGTTTTTGGAAATGCACACTTAAGTATTAAGCGACAGAGAGGGCTCATGTATTTTGTGACTGGTGAATCCCAGATGGTAAAATTACAACATATCCAAGGATTTCCAAGAGTAATTTACACTTTGAAAGACTGTATTCTTTGGTCTGTGTGCTCAACCCCTCTGGCACCAGCAAGCTGCATGAGGAATGCAAGCTGCCATCCCCATCTCTACCTGTGAGCTGGGAGATGGGGGACAGTGGGTGGGTAATGTTAGCTTTATTTCTCCACTTGGATGGGCCAGGGTACCCAGATGTTTGGTCAAATATTATTCTCACTCCATCCAGAACTTTTATCCCACCACGGCTCCTTTTATATATGGAGAAAAGCTTAAGTAAACAAGACAATTCATAACCTCAAATACATAGTTGAGGACTCAATCACAATAATCAAAGAGAAAAGTAAGTATGAAAGATAGAAAACAAGCCTAACAAAAGGAAGAACTCAGTACCTATAAAATATAAGCTTAATAAAGTGAGAAGGACAGCATTTTAAAATATTTAATAACTTTAGAAAGATATGGATGAATATTCATTTTTTAAAAAAAAACAACAAAATACCATGGAAATTTAAAATCTGACCACTAAAATTTTAAAAAATCAATCTATACACTGTCAAGATGGTTAATACACTGCAAGATTGAACTAAGGGTTTTTCACAAAATGAAACCCAAACTTTAAAAAAATGATGTATAAGAGAAATTTAATAAACTAGGAAAGAAGCAAGAAAAAAAATAATAAAGAAAAAAACCAAAGAACTAATGGAGTTGGTCAATACAGACTTCCATTAAAAAAATTACTATAGGGGCACCTGGGTGGCTCAGATGGTTAAGCCTCTGCCTTCAGCTCAGGTCATGATCCCAGGGTCCTGGGATCAAGCCCAGCATTGGGCTCTCTGCTCAGCGGGGGGCCTGCTTCCCTTCCTCTCTCTCTCTGCCTGCCTCTCTGCCTACTTGTGATCTCTGTCAAATAAAAAAAAAAAAATACCATAGACTAGGTGACTTAAATTTTAAGAGACAGAAAGAAAGAGAGAGCAGTGGGGAGAGGCAGACAGAGATAGAATCTAGGTATGGAGCCTGACACAGGGCTCCATCTCAAGACCCTGAGATTATGACCTAAACTGAAGTAAAGAGTCAGATATTTAACCAACTGTGCCATACAGGCACCTTTTATGTAACAGTCATAAACAAGAGAAAACAAATTTATTTCTCATCGTTTTGCAGGCTGTAAGTCTTTGGCTTGTAGATGGCTATATTGTTCACTTTCTACTGCAGCCTTTCCTCAGTGCATATGCAAAGAGAAGGAGAATGAACTTTTTGGAGTCTCTTCTTACATGGATACTAATCTTAACAGATCAGGCTCTTACTATTAGGACCTCACTTAATCTTTATTACTTCCTAAGCAGCCCCATCCTCAAACACAGCCATGCTGGGGCTTAGAGTTCCAACATATGAATTTGGGGGGTGCACACAAACTTAACTCAATAACAATCAATAAAACAAAAGCTGGTTCTTGAACAAGAGAAAATTCAGAAATATATCATATTAGAAACATAACTAAAGAACCTTAAAAAAAATGTACAAGCTCCTAGAGTATACCTTGAATATTTTTAATTCAAAAGGAAATTTAAAAAGCCAGATAATGAGAGCATAAAAAAAGGAAAAATTATGCTAATTTCATTTAGGAAAGTAGTTTTAAAAATCCTGGCTAAGGGGTGCCTGGGTGGCTCAGTGGGTTAAGCATCTGCCTTTGGCTCAGGTCATGATCTCAGGGTCCTGGGATGGAGTCCCAGGTCAGGCTCTCTGCTCAGCGGGGAGCCTGCTCCCCCCCCCCACGCCTGCCTCTCTGTGTACTTGTGATCTTTCTCTGTCAAATAAATAGAAAGAAAAAAAATACCAAAGAAAAAAATATTCTGGCCAATTAGGCAATGGGAAGTAAAAGTTATTTAGTTGTGAGAGTGGTCCCTTGCAAGATGGCCTACCAAAAATGTGGCATCTTACAAAGCTCCACAGAAACTGGCTATAGCTCAGATCCTAAGGCAGTAAATGCTGATCTGCCATAACGTTTGGACCCATTTGCCACCTCCAGTGGTCTCATGTCAGGGAAGGCGCTGGCGTTAACACAATCAATCATGTATATTGATGTGGCCCACCGGCATGGCAATCCTGCTAACTTTCAGCTTGTTTTTTTTTTTTTAAGGATTTATTTATTTATATTAGAGAGAGAGGGTGCACACAAGAGGAGGAACAGAGGGAAGGGGGAAAGAGAATCTCAAGCAGACTTCCGGCTGAGTGCAGAGACCAACGTGGGGCTCGAACTCACCACCCTGAGATCCCGACCTGAACTGAAATCAAGAGTTGGATGTTCAACCAACTGAGCCACCCAGGTGCCCCTAACTTGCAGCCATCTTCTATTTATAACCAGAAGTCTTAGATTTCAGCTACATTAGGACTTTTCATTAATCTTGAATGCCATGCTGTCAGGATAGTGCTGAAATCAACGTTCTGCCGCATCATATTACTACTGTATTCTGGTTCCTGATCATGCCAGGGGAGGAGCTGATGTTCTCTAATTACTCATTAAAAGTTCATATTCCAATGGTCAAGTTCCCACTAGTGGAATCTGTCACATGGCCTAAATAGATTGCTATGCTCTGCTTTAGAGTGGAATGAGGCAATGGTGACCCACCACTGAGGTACTGACCCCTATTCCTCTATGCTTTCCTTAGTAAATACTGCTCCAGCAGGTCTGATATGTGTGTTACTTGGCGACCTGCACTGTTAATGATGACATGTCACATTACAGATTACACAAGATAAACTATATAATCATCTATCATATTTGCTGTCCCAAAGTATGTGAGAAATTCAACATTCATTAATAATTTTTCAAAAAAAAATGAAGGTCCATCTCAATCTAGCACCATTTATAAAAATAAATTCCAGACTGACTAAACACTAATGTCAAAAATGATAAAATTACAAAATAGCATATATAATATTGAAGCATAAATGTATTTGTATATATGACACAAAAGTCATTAAAAGATTGATAAACTTGAACACATTGAGATTAAATCTTCTGTGGAATTAAAATTCAAAAAAATTAAACCATAAAATAAGTTGAAAGGTAAGAAAGAGACAGAGATGAAATATTTCCAATATATAGACATATGGGCTAATATTTAGAAGGTATATTGTATGGAGTGAATGTCCTCAGGAGAAGAGCTTTAGAAAAGCAGAGAAACTTCAAGATTGCTTTTCGGTTTATACTGTTTTCTAAATTTTGTAAAAGACTAAATTTTTTTAAAACAAAATTTTTTTTTTAAGATTATTTATTTGATAGACAGAGATCACAAGCAGGCAGAGAGGCAGGCAGAGAGAGAGAGGAGGAAGCAGGCTCCCTGCTGAGCAGAGAGCCTGATATGGAGCTCCATCCCAGGATCCTGGGATCACCACCTGAGCCGAAGGGAGAGGCTTTAACCCACTGAGCCACCCAGGTGCCCCTGGAGACTAAATTTAATATGCTAGTATAAGCCTGATTATCACTACTCAACAACATAAAAAGTATAAAACAGACTCATGATTTTGAATATATTAATACAAAGTGTAGGACAACATACAGTACACTCCATGAACAAAGAGAGTTAGAAGGAGAAAAAGAAGACTGGTTGATCTAGTAACAAATACAGAAGTAGAGATAATCTATACTATAGTAGGTCCTATACCACCAATATCAGCCAAAATGCACAAAATAAAATTCAAATATGACTCGGGAGAGACATGATAATGGCTAAGACCTTATAATGTATCTCAAAGGCTACTGGAGAACTCATCCAACTCACTATGTAGTTTGTGGATAGGGTGGCATATGTGTAGGTTTTTCTGAAGGAAAGAAGTACAGAATTTTAATTTTAGATTAATAATTATAAAATTATAGGGTATCCATAAAAGTGGCTCACTGCTGCTATTATATGTACTCTCCAATTTTTAAAACTTCTTAAAGATAGACACTTTTAAAAAAAGTCTCTTTTACTTTAAAATAGTATTTTTTAGGGGTACCTGGGTGGCTCAGTGGGTTAAGCCTCTGCCTTTGGCTCAGTTTGTGATCTCAGGGTCCTGGGATGGAGCCCTGCATCGGGCTCTCTGCTCAGCAGGGAGCCTGCTTCCCCCCCCCTCTCTGCCTGCCTCTCTGCCTACTTGTGATCTCGATCTCTCAAATAAATAAATAAATAAATATTTAAAGAATCATTTTTATAAGGTAGGCAAAATATTATTCCTTCACTATAAAGAGTGTTAACCTGTGGGGTTTCCCCCCTGAACTTTTAG